AGATGAAATATTAAATTGAGGTCCCGTCTGTCTGTTTAGGTGAACGTTAAAAAACCCATAGGGATAGTTGAAAAGAGAAGGGAGTTTTTCTTGATGTACTGGCCAACAATTCCCAAAATAAAATTGGTCATTCACTCCATAGCTGTTTTGGGGATAGTGCTATGTATAAATTAACTTTTGCAAAATATACAGTCACTACACTTACAGTGAGTCCTGCAAAGTACTTTGAGTTGTTTCAACGACATGAGAAGCAACGTATTAAATGCAAGAATTATTTTATTATTACTCTGGGACTCTGGCTCAGAGTAATAATAAAAATATGTCTACTCTCCAATTCTCATTGAAGAGTGAAATTAGGTAATTGGCCATTAGAATAAGATGGATTGCTACTGACCAACTTATCTGCTTCAACCACTGTTCCAGGTAGGATTTTCCATGTAGAGCATGTATACTTACTAACTTTATGGTTGCGGTTTTGGAGCAACAAGCTATGATGATGCTGATGTTGATTGCGCTTTACAAAACTCTGTGAAATGCTTTGAGACATTCTGATGTGATACAGTACTACATCAAATACCAATATTATGATATTGTTATTACTATAAAACAAATATAACCACAAAAAAGTCAATAAATAAAATGTGAAGACCACAACTTTATTATCAGATTGATCCCATTGTAGACAATATTAGAATTTAATATGCCTTGGAAGTCTTTGTTGCTGTCATGCTATTATTGCGTCAGCGCTCCCCAGACACCCAGACTGACTAGAATAGGGTTACATACCACATTCAAATGCTTCAAATGCTTCTAAAATACTAGGAGGATAATTACCTGGATTATCAATAAGAATTGTTCAAGCAGCAAATCATTAAATTTTTTCAGAAACCTTTTAAGTTCCATACAGGCTGTTAGAACTACTGATGGAAGCATATGACTCATGCAATTTTTGTAGTACTGCTCCTCAATTCACATTTTTAACAAAGAATAGACACAGCTGATTGTTTGAATCTTCGTTTCACCCCAGAAACATTTATGCAACACCTTTCTTTAGTTAACTAAATTCTCAAACGTCATTGGAGGGCAGGCATTCAACCATTCTGCCCCCACTTTCTGGAACTCCATCCTGGAGTCCCTCTGACTTTCTCACCCCCTCCCCTCATTTAAGGCAAGTCTCAAGACATACCTCTTTGACCGCGTTTTCGGTTATCTTTCCCCTCCTCGCCACACTCAACTCTCACCCTGTCATGGACACCTTGTTTTTATTAGTACCCTACCTTGTTCTAATGATATTTGCTGTAGATAGTCTGTGTATAGAGAGTTTGTGTCAAAATAAGCCACTTCGAGTTAAGCGCAATTATAATCCCGGCACCGAAAATACGACTTAAAGTGGTATTGCATTCGAGACACAAAGTCTGTGACCTGGGTGAGTGTTGCAACAAAAATTGGTGGAAAAGGTATGGTGCTTATAAGGACCAATAAAATACTGTGTTTTCTAAAAAGTGCCATCGCATCTGTTAAATTCTGGAGGAAAGGAGAAACACAAGCAGCTGATGTCAGCTGTTTGGGAGGACGAAAGACATTGATTGACGCCTCGCATTGTTACGCTATAAAGCATTGGGACCACCTGACATTGTGTTAATTCTCACATAGTGAAGTCTCACATAGAGAGGGAACTTGAACGTCACAGAGACTACATGCTTTCCCAACATGAAAGGCGCTACATAAATATAACTTGTATAAGAGCTCTGAGATGCTACTCTGCGTGAGAGGTGCTATATAAATGCAAGTTGTTGTTGTATTGTATTTAATAATCATATGACTCGCATTTGATATAGTGCCTTTCCACATCATCAAGATGTCTCAAAGAATATACTGTAAATTGACTTGAGTGCATATTTTGTGGGCGAAATGCGGCAGCCAATTGAGCACAGCAGTGTCCCAGAAACAGTCGTGGATTGAGTGACCAATTTATTTTGATTATTTTTTTTTGAAGGAACTCTTACTCCTGGAAAAGCGATCCACCAACCGACAAACAACCGGGTTCCTATTTACTGCTTGGTAAACAGAGGCGTGTGGAGTAAGGAAACTTGCCCAATGTTTCACCCTGCCAGGAATCTAATCCAGGTCTTTTGCTTGCAAGGCAAGTGTTCTAACCACTTAGTTAGAGTACTTAGCTACAGGACTACAAGAATTTTAGGTCCATTCTTAATGAAAATGTATTAAATAATAATATAGTGCTTTTCACATCAGGAAGACATCTCAAAGCGGTTCACAGATTTTACAATAATGTATACTGACTGCATTTTTTGTAGATTGGGGCAGCCAATTGCAAATAGAAATCTCCCACAAACAACCAATGAAGTGAATGACCAATGTTATCTGGGGGATTGTTGGGCAAGGCACTGGGACAAATTCCCTTCTCTTTTTAAGTAGTGCCATAGGATCTTTAATGTCCACCTGAACAGGCAGAAAGGCCTTTGGTTTTAATGTCTCATCCAAAGAACAGCAGCTGCAATAATACACCCCTCTTCCCTCCCAGTATTATCTGGAGTGTCGGCCTATGGATGAGACATTAACACACGTCACCATGGACCCAAGGTTACCACAGGATAACTTCAGTTTAGAGAGGGGGTTAGAATATATAACATCAATGAACAGTATAACCAGCTCACTGTGGAAATAATTAGATTTCTCTTTTTATTCCAAAACAGAAGATTGATAATCAATCACTTTCCTTCCCTACAGGTCTGCGACCGATCCCTTGGCAAGTCATCTACAAATGTGATTTTAGATTGCTGTTCCTGCAGCGAGCTCAGCGAATATCTTACAGTCTTAGGGGAAAATGGAATTCTAAACTCCAATATAAATATTAAATGCTGCAAATATTCCATAAACTACAAACGTTACAGCTGTCCTTTTAGAGATAATCATTCTTCTTGTCTCAAACATCTGAACGATGATGAAGCAGATTTCAAAGCATTGGTTGGTGTCACAAACCCTGGTCCTCTTTCTGGCAATTAAATATAAATCAAGTATAATAGTTATTAAATCACACTCATTGTATTAGATAGGGAACTTGCAAGGTCACACTGTACATTATTTTGCTCTTTAAAATTAAATCCACAAGACAAGGAATTCATAAAGTCATTCCAATACTGTTCCCTCCCTTTGCAATTCAATTTAGAATTTAATTTGCTCTTGTCCTACTACTTAAAGATCAATCAGCAGTTAATTCGCCAGTAAACTAATATAGCTTTTATCACTGCTGAGATTATTTTGGACCAGACCACAACCTCTGTACCCCTGTGAAGCTTTCTGTCTGATTTAATGGTATTAACTTCATATTTATTTTGCTTATTTTACGACACCGATTTGTTGCCATGAAACTGTTCGATTAAGGAAGAAATTTAATTTGTTGACACATTAGTTTTGTTTAGGGGCATAATAAATGTGAACTTGAGAAATTGGAACATATCAAGAACTGATATAATTTAACAATTTTAAACAAATTCCATGGAGGAACCAGAGTGAATAAAATAATAATTAAAAAATAATAATAATGTGGTCACTCAATCCACAACTGTTTGTGGGACACTGCTGTGCATTATTGGCTGCTACGTTTCACCCACAAAATAGAGTTGATTTACTTTACAGTATATTCTGTGTCGCGGTTTGAGACATCTCAACGATGTGATATCAAACAATGTGACCCTATATCAAATGCAAGGATTGATATAATAAGAAACTATTATCTAGCTTTCCTTGTTTTTGTGTTATGGGATCTTTATAAAAATAATAATCCTTGGATTTAGTATAGGGTCCTTCACTTTGGAAGGATGTCCAAAGTGCTTCACAGGATATTCTGCAAAATGCAGAGACTGGGTATTTTGTAAGCGAACTTGGCAATCAGTCTGCACAAAGCAAAATCCTACAGACAGACAGACTACAAACGGTCGATGAACAATTTTATCTGGAGGTCGTTGGCATAGGGAGAAACCCTCTTCTCCTTTTTGTAAAATACCAAGGGATCTTATGAATTGTTCCTTGGCTTTATGTCTCACCTAAATGATAACACCTCCAATGCAATACAATACAAAATTACATTTATATAGCGCCTTTCACATCGGGAGAACATCCAAGAACGCAGTTCACCCCAGGACTGCATTGGAATGTCATTTTAGACTATATAAGATTAAAATTGTAATATGGGGCTTGAGGCAAGAGTCCTACCAACTTTAATGACAACCTGAACAGGCAGATGAAATCTTGGTGTAAAACCTTGGTGTGGAGCCTTTGAAAAACAGTACTTCTAAACCCCTCAGCACTCCATCAGTTACTTCCTGAATTCAAGGGAGCTCAAGTGTCAATTAAATTGTGAAACATTGCCTGTTCAAGAGGAATGTTTTAAGATGGATGAGTGCCACGAGTCATTTCCTGCTTCCACAAAATAAGAATTCAAATATTCGTATCTTTGTGAGAAGGACCGACTAGAAGGGCAGAAAATTTGATCCTAATTGTACCCAGGTAACAACAACAACTTGCATTTATATAGCACCCTTCACTGAAACATTATTCACTCCAGGGTGACACCTTCCCTCTCACCACCTGGTTAAAGCACTTTGAGACACTACCCTGTGTGGAGGGCGCTATACAAATGCAAATTGGTGTTACACGTTCCATCGTACCCAATCGCTGCCATGGTGGTGTGGCTCTCATCTCCAGGTCCTCACTCCTTACTCTTCCGGATCCTTCTCCTCCTCCGAGCACCTCAATCTTTACCATCCCTCCAATGTTTCCCTTAAAATTCTCATCATTTATCATCCCCCAAACCCTCCAATACTTTCTTTTCCGACATCTCTACTGTCCTACCTTCCCTCTGTTCTGAATGCCTCCTCATCTTTAACCTGCACTTCACTCTTTCTTGCTCCACCTCCACTGACTTCTCCGCCATCATCTTTCCCACTATCTCTCCTTCCACATTAATTCTGCCCACTCACATCGATGGCCAGCCCCTCGACTTGGTGATTACCTGGGGTATCATCGTCTCGGACATCACCATCACTGGTAAAGCCATCTCCCTTAACTGCTCAATCCTCCTCCCTGCTGCCCAACCCACTTCTATCTCCTATCGCCCCTGGAAAAAATCTCCCTCCACACCCTCTCCACTGCCCTGGAGTCATCTGAACTCCTGCCCCTCTGGTCCTCCTCATCTAATGACCTGTTCTCCTCGGTCACTCTCCTCCACAACTCCCTCTCTGTAATCCTCGACACCCTTACCCTCGTCACCTCCTGCAAAACCTTCGACTCTCGCAACACCCCCTGATACACCAGCTACTTCTGCTCCCTCAACTCACAGGCGTAGGCCACTGAAGGCACCGGGCACTGCGCTAACTCCCTGTTCGCCGGACTTGTTGTTCATATAGAGTAAGAGCTCAGAGTGCTTTACAGAGGGGGTGGTGAACACCAAGTAGCAGAGTGGGGGAAGATGGAGGTGGCTATAGGTATGAATGGTGAGATAGTTTTTTCTAACTTTTGAAGACAGATAGAGAGGAGGTGATGGGGGACGGGGGGTCAAGTGGAGAGTTTGAGGGAGGGACTTTCACACGATGGAAGCATAGTGTTGAAAACCTCGTTCACCAATAATGGGGTGGAGGAGGCAAGAGACACACAGAAGGCCTGAGTTTGCTTAGAAGAGAAGACAAACAGAAAAGTGAGGCAAGATAAGACTAGAAGGGGAGTTTTCTCCAGGGACAGAAGTAGATAGTGGAGGGTTTGGAGAAGGGGATAGGGATGTAGGAGGTAAAATCTAATCCCATTCAGGATTACATAAACTACAGAACAGAACTGACATCTACTGGTATCCAAAATAACAAATCATAAGTTGTTAACACAATAGCATCTAATTAGCATAATCATACACTAGTAAATTCAAATAATGTATTGATTTCAGATCATTCCACTGTTGTTCATTAATCTGCCTTAAAAGCAATAACAATATAGTTAGGCCTCCAGGACATCTCAAAGGGCTTCACAGGAAATGCGGTGTGTAATTCCTGTGAAGCCCTTTGAGATGTATTGATGGCATCCCAAGATGCTACCCCATGTGAAAGGCACTATATAAATGCAAACTGTTGTTGTGTTGTGCGTGTAAGTTTTGTTGATGAACGTGGCTACGAATTTGTGCACAGGTCATGAAGTGAATGACCAATATTATCTGAGGTATTGTTGACCAGATGTAAAATGTAAAATAAAGTAACAAAGATTGTTGGCCAGGAAAGTAATAAAGAATGTGTAAACATAGCAGAGTGAATCAAATGCAAGGATTATTATTATTATTAAGCAATATCTTTTATACTGTCTTAGAAATTGAAGTACAAATTGGTACCGGCTATGTTACTGGTTTCCCCTTCCCTTCAGCAGGGTCACTAGGTTGAGGATAGAAGATTGGTATTGTCTCAATAGGTCATGCGAAGGGCCTTCAGGAGAAATAGTGTGGACTTGCATCGCTGCCGGCACTTGTGGAGTCATGCGTCACAGAAAACTCATTCAACGATGAGTGGTAATTCATCATTAGCTAGTGGCTTTTGAGATTATCCAACTATCCAAGGTCAGATCACTGACATCTACATGTAAGTGTACGATTCAGTACGTATGGTAACATGTAGGCCAAAATGATCATGCATCAGCAAACTAGAATCAGTTTTATTTCTTTCTTCAATTCGATTTTCTTTCCTACTGAAACTATCAAAGCATTTAATACATTTTGAGTAAATGTTCCACAAAAATGCAAAAAATTTGCTTAACATCAATATAATAAAGAAAAGTTGCACTTCTAATAGCTGCTATCACATCATCAAAATGTCTCAAAGTGCTTCATAGGATTGACTGTAAAGTGTAGTAACTGTGTACTTGTAGGCAAATGTTAATGTTATCTAGTAGATTGTTAACCAGAAGACTAGGAGAAATTCACTTCTCTTTTCAAATTATGCCATGGGACCTTTAGCATCATCATCATCATTATTATCATAATAATAATCCTTGCATTTGATATAGCGCTTATCACGTCATCAAGATGTCTCCAAGTGCCTCACAGGATTTACTGTAAAGTGGATTGTGTATTTTGTGGGTGAAATGCGGCTTCAAGTTTGCCCACAGCAATGTCCCACAAACAGCCATGGAGTGACCAATTTTAATTGGGGGATTTGTTGGCCAGGACATGGAGAAACTCTTTTCTCTTTCGAATAATGCCATGAGATCTTTAATGGCTACCTGAAGAGGTAGACGGGACCTCAGTTTAACATCTCGTCTGAAAGAAAGCACTTCCGCTCCACCCCCTAGTACTGTATTCGAGTGTCAGCTTAGACTGTATGATTCCAAGTCCCAATGTGGAGCTTGAACCCACAATCTTCTTGCCTCAGAGGTGAGAGTGTTACCACTGTGCCAGGCAAACATCACCTGAACAGACAGATGGGACTGAGATTTTATGTCTCATCAGAAGGACACCACCTCCAATAATGCAAGGCTTCTCTAGTACTACATTGGAGTGTCAGCCAAAAACATGATCTCAAAGTCCAACATGGTGCTTGAACCATCCCCCCCACCCTCCATCTTTCTGACTCAGAGGCATGAATGCTACCGACTGAGCAAGGCTGACAGCTGACAGCATCATTACATAAATCTCCATATATATGCTTAATATATCTCCCCCAAAGCACAATACTAGTAAAACTGAACATTTAAGGACTGAGTTGTAAAATGCAAATAACAACACTGCTCAGATTTCACCTGATGTAACGCCTTTAAAATGTATTAATTAATTTTCTGCTGCTAAATTCTGAAAGCCAAAACTAATAGTTTGCATTGTGGTTTGTCACGTTCTGATTTATTTATCTAAAGGCTTCCTGTTGGATGGATTGATTTAGCATTGAAGAGCTTGTCAGCATAAGAGCACCCATTGACATGTCACAAGCAAAGTAATTAAGGATCATTAAAATCAGTTTCATTCACAAAATAAAAACCTGTTTTTTTGTGGGGCCGGTGGAGGGAGATTAGCAATTTGTTTTTTGTGTCAAATATCAGGGAAAAATCAGGCAGAATAATTGACACAAACCCTCTTGCCCTGGTACATTCAGTTCATGCCAGAATCTATTTTATATAGAACTAGCTCACTAGCAACCAAAGGATCCAATATGGAATGTAGATCGACACACAGACAGACACCCAGACAGACATTTCATCTTTATCTATACTCATCTGGGAGGACTCCTGTGGGAGGACTCCTTTTGGGAGGACTCAGCGCTTTAAAAATGTAATTTTATTATTATTGTTGCGACGTATCTTCACCTTTGTGTTCTTTATTTTGCTCCCGCCACTTGGCTATGTGCATGCTCTGTGACGTAGGATGCTACAGCGTCACGGTCAGCCGGAGCGGCCACCAGGTGTAACTGCAGTGTGTGCGTACATACCTTATTCTCTCCCATATTCTTTTATCTTGCCATATGCACGATGCCACAACAAACTGCAACAAAAAACAAAAAACTGAAAATATTTCATGAATGATAGGAGATAACTGAAACAAATATGCCCATGTCACTGCCAGTTGCAAGACCTTTCCGAAGAGGTATAAATCATCTCTCTATATCAATTGGTTATTGAGCTCTTTCCATCACTGCTACATCCTTCTTAGAGTGTGGCGATTAAAATTGAACACGGTACTCCATAGTACTGGTTTGAAACATATTCAACATTATCTCCTCACTGTATACTCTATCCATCAGGATGTAAAGCCCAAGACCGCATTTGCCTTTTTATGGCCTTATCTACTTGTGTTGCTACTTTTTAGAGATTTGTTGATCTGAATCCCCAGATCTCTTTTTTTTTCTACTCCTCTTGGGCTCCTGCCATCTAGGCTACAGATAGCCTATTTATTTTTTCTGGTAATACACATTTACCTACATTAAACTTAATTTACCAACTGTTTGCCCATTCTGCTGGCCTGTTTATATCATCCTGCATTCTTCTGCAATACTGTTCACTATTTACCCCCTCCCCTCCCCCGCCAGTTAGTGTCATCCTGCAGATTTTGACATCACACCTGTATCCGAGTCCAAATCATTTATGTATATGGTGAACAGTAGTGGTCCTAACGCTGCAGAATATCACTGCCTACCAGCCTTGCCAGCTTGAGAAGATGCACTTAACTCCTACTCTTTGCTGTCGGTTTTCTAACCATTCTGTGATCCATTCTGCTACCTCTCCCACAACTCCACTTGCCCTGATTTTAATCATGGTATTGGAACATCAAACCTTCAAGAAAACAAGTCAGAGACCACTATAGCAGTTGCTCTGTCAATAAACACAATTATTGATACACGGGAGAGTTACACAGTTATCTGCATAATTCACAGCTGAACACACATTGTGGATAAATGAACATCAAGCAGTGCTATCTAAAAAAAATTTCATCAAGAATTACACTATCAGTGGCATACCACACTGTGCCAGACCTTCTCGCTTTCTCTCTCTCAGTCAGTCTTTCTGTCAGTCTATATTTCTCTCTCTGTCTTAGCCTGTCTCTCTCTCTTCTAGAGTTTCTGTTTAAATCAGGAGGGAGGGATTTACATACATAGGTTGAGCCTACGTCACAATCTGTTAATGGAGCAGAAACGATTCTGACAGAAGCTTCCTTTGCTATACTTATGAAGCACTGGTAGAACCTGTTGTCGTGTTGACTCTCATTAGTGAAGTTACACCTTAGAACAGGGAACTTGCACTCACAGAGAAGGATCGAACACAGAGGTCATCTAGTTCACTATTCGGGAAACACTGTGCTGGTTTACATTAGGGATAAGAACTGTTGTGAGTCTCTATCTCTTTCTCTCAGTCTGTGTGTCTGTCTGTGTCTGTTTGTGTCGCTCTCTCAGTCTGTCTTTCATTTGCATTGTCAGCATCCTCTACCCCATCTTCTTTCCATTCCCAAACCAACCATCCAGTGACCTTATATTAAATGTCAAATGATGCCTTCTTTTACGCTGTCGGCCTCCATACGTTGAGAAATGGCATGAGACCATGCGG